GAATATGAAAATCTAACCTTAATTTAGAAATTACCGGCAATACAAAATCCGGCCACCTAATTGTTAACCTTAGCCGTCACACCTCCCTAAGTGCATCCCGTCGGGACCATAGTGAAAAAAAATTAAAATTTTGCACTGAGAGGGTATTTGCATTTATAGAGAGTAAAATATATAGGACTCCTATAAATTGGGGCCAAACGTGATTGTGCATTTAAAGAGGTTTTACATAGTACTTGCACTTAAGGGGTGCGGCTGTACTTAGGTGAGAGGGTTTAGTATAGTTATGTGATTTGGTAATTCAAAAAAGTACGTGTATACAATTTTAGAATCAAATAAAGAGTGTTCTTTATTAAGTAATATGTATTAATTATTTAATGCTATGACAAGCATGCCTACAAAGTAGAGTAAAACTCGCCCGTATATATAATAAAACAACTACTAATAAGTACATATGGGATCTTTGCTATCAAAATGACCCTCTGAGGCTATGTTGATCTTGTAAATAAAAATTAAAATTTCTAGCCATCTAGTTATCCTTTTGAATGAAATTTTTTTTAATTTGTAGATTCTAGAGATTTACAAAATAAAAAAAGTTTATTCAAATTGAATTACTAGATGGCTAGCAATTTTAATTTTTATTTACAAAATCAACATAGCCTCAGAGAGTTATTTTGATAGCAAAGATCCCATATAATCTTTGAGCTATAAATGTTCTAACTGCTACAAGTAGGGTTCCTCAAAGTCGAATCAAATCAAATATTAGGCATATTTGAATTTGATTGAATCAAATAAGCTCTTAATTTGAATTTGATTTGATCAAATCAAATCAAATCAAATCAAATCAAATATATTTGTAATTTTTTCGAATCAAATCAAATATTTTGTCAATTTGAATTTGATTTGATTTGAAATTTCTGTATTTGAATTTGATTTGAGATCAAATATTTGATTGAATAAAATCAAATTAAATTGAATTGCAGAACCCTAGCTATAAGTGTTCCTAGTATCTCTTATACTATTAATATTTTTTGTCTTTTAATCCATTTAATTTCTTTGTGCTATAACTAGAACATATAGCACAACAGGCACATGTAACACATTTGGTACAGTAACCTATAACTAATATTCTCATGATATAATAAATTTGATAATGAGGTTGGATCTACAAGGGTAAAAATCTCTCCCACTAAATCACAAGTTTCACAAGTTATTATAAAAGAGAATAATAATCAGATAACTTTAGATCTCTGATCATTTTAAAGTTTAAAGTTGCTGTTTTCACTATTTGATCCACTCTCCAGTGCTTAAAAATATAGTAGATTTGTTCTACTACTATAGTATAGTATTTATTTAGGAGGTTTCTATATGGGGTGAGTCAATAGAAAAGTGACAAATTTTTTCTAAGTAAAAGTTTTCTTGACTTTAGGCTTAAATATTTTAGCAATTATCTTATCAAATTTAATAAAAACTTTTTTATTTTAATTCTATACAATTTCAAGATTAAAATAAAAAAATTTTTAGCAAATTTGATTAATTAGTTGTTGAGATATTTTAATTTAAAAATTAAAAAAATTTTACTAAAACCGATTTGTCCCTTTTCTATTAACTCCCCCCTATATACTACTTACTATGCTGAAGTAGATGCAATTGTCTCTGTAAGTTGGTCTATAAAGAAGGTATGGGCTAGAGCTTCTTCTCTTTTACTCTGCCATTGCAACTGCTACATATCAAGATATACTATTCGAACTTGTATTTAAAAATTCAGGTTTGGATTAATAGTAGATATAGTCACTATTATATCTCTGTCTTGGATACTAATGAGTTTTAATAAGATGTCTTAAAAATTATTATCTATTTTTATAAATATTTTTATCTTAATTAGCTATCAGCATGTCTTTTTATAACTTCTTTTGCTATCAATTGATTTTAGCATATTGTGTTTACTCATTTATAATATCTCTTAATTAGAGAAAGGTCTATAAATATAGCTATTATCTTTTCTAGTATAATTCATAGCTTATATACCCTAGAAATAGTATATTATATATATAATACAGGCCTTTTCACTTTGGTCCTAATTTTCCAGTGTGTCGTTGATCTAGAGCAGTATTAAACAATAGGATCTTATCTCTAATTTAAATAGTATTAACTGTAGATAATTTTTTATCAAATCTTTCTTTTTATTTTAACTATGCTTTTTTAATTCATCAATTAGCAATTAGCCTTTTTTCTATCAATTTATTCTTTAGCCTAAATAATCAGTCTAACAGATTCTTTTTTAGAATTTTAGATAAATTTTGACAGGAGAACTTGGACTTTTTACTATAGATTAAGTAAAATAGTTTGATTTTTGTGGTGACTTGTTTTATTGTTCTATAAGCAAACAATATAGATTGTATTAACAAGTTCTATTCTTATTTTTAATTGATGGATTTAGCTAATAACTTGTACAATATACAATTAAACCATTTCACTAAACCATTTGTCTGTAGATAGTAAACAAATGTCTTATTTAAAATCTTTCTAATAAGTATTTAATTATTTAATTTCTAAAATGTGTTCTGCTATCTAATAAAATTAACTTCAAACACCTATATCAACAAATAATATCATTATAGATAAATTTAGCAACTTGTAAAGCATTAGCCATTGGGATGAGTTTTGCTTTAGGCCACTTCATTGTATAATTAGTAGCAATAACTATAGCAGTTTTTTTAGATAGTTAATAGTAAGGGACTTACTATGTCTATCAATTCTTTGGAACAGTGAATCTACTGGAATAGGCTGTAATGGTTTGCTAGCTCTTTTTTTTCTTGTCATTGACAACTATCACATAACTTGATGTAAGTATAAATACTTATATACATTTGAGGTTAGTATTAAAGTTTTTTAACTTTTTCAAATATTTTAGCTATATTGAAATAACCACCATTTGGATAATCATATATTAGGTAAAATATTTAGTCAATTTTATTCTCTTTAATGATCTTTAACAGTTTTCTACAAGACTAACTTCTTTAATTTTTCTTATATAGTAGTCTATTTTTGCATTCGTAGAATTGACTTTTGAAGCTAATTCTGTTTTGCTTTTCTAGCTTCAGATTTTGAAGTAGAATATTGGCTTCCAGATATTGCTTTAGCTGTTTATATTCTTTTTGTTGCTAGGACACCAGAATCTAAGCCATATTTGTTTCTTCAAATTTAAAAGTTTTCTATAAATTCAATCTTTTTTTTATTTTAACTATTTCTTACTGATTTTTAATTTTTCCTTCTATTTAATACTTTTGCTATCTTAAATATGTTCTATTAATTCATATTTTCTTTTTTTTATTCTCTGTCTTATTAGCTTTCTTTCTGTTTAATATCTTTGCTATCTTAGATATGTTCTATTAATTTCTATTTTCTTCTTTTTATTCTCTGTTTTATTAGTTTTTTTTTTTTTTTTTCTTTTTTGTATATTGGTATTATGACTAGCTTTTAGATTGTCATGTTCATAATACTACTCTATCTTTTATATCTTTTTTTTATCGGTACTGCTTACTTCACTGATAATCATTTCACTAAAAGTTCACTTAGCTGATATCACATAAGATTAAAATTAGCATTTATTAGTTGCAAGTATATATTTTTAGAAAACTATCACTTGGTGTGATATCGGCTAAGTGAGCTTTCAGTAAAATAATTGCTGGTGAAGTAAGGTGGAACCTTTTTATATATATATATATATGTGTGTCTAGTATTGTTTACTATTTATTCACTAAATTTTCCTTCTTTATTCTCATAGTTTTCTTTTATATTTTTTAGTTTATATATATATATATATATATTATTGTCTTTATATTTTTATTAATCTATAGTATTAGCAATTAGGTTTTCAATAATTTTAGCATTAAGACCACTATGTTGGATTTCATCTATGTTCAACTCTGCTTCTTCAGCACTTTTCATGACCCACTGCTAGAGAGTAATTAGATCTGTAGGTTATTAGCAATTAATGAAAATGTTAAGAACTCTAGATAGTATACAGCTTGTTAAAGATTAAACTACCTAGTAGCATAATGTATACCCAAGATCCCAGGCATCTCTAATATAGATTATAATTAATCTGTATAAATTTAAAGGTTTTTGCTATTCCTAAAATAAGTAAATTTGCTAAAAATTCAATTATTATATATATAATTAGTTTAATTTGCTAAAAATTAAATTATCACATCTATTTTTAATAAATATAAAATTAAATATATTTGCATACTATATTTTTGTATATTGAACAAGTTTACTTAGAATATAAAGTTAGAATCAATTAGTAAACTTTTGAAAATCATAGTATTTTTTAGTATTTTTATTAATAAAATTATATAAAATATTAAAATTCTTTGTTTAGCATATTTAATTTTTATTTTCTGAAAATTTTAAAAAAAAAATACTTAATTTTAGATATTTTAATCAAAATATTCAAAATTAAGTATCTTCTCTTAAATTTTCAAAAAATTAAATATGCTGCAATAATGTATTTTTATATACTAAATAAAGTTTATTAAAGCATAAAGTTATAATCAATTAGTAAAATTTTGAGAATTTTAATATTTTATATAATTTTATGGTTGATATTTAGTATAGGTAGAAATATATAAATATTATAAGATTATTTAATATAAAAATAATTATTTGAACTAATCTAAACAGATTTGAGAATAGTTAGGGTTAGGATGAGAGTCATAGTTATAGATGGGGGTGAAATTAAAATTCAGGTTTACAATATTTTAACCATTAAAATTAAATTCAACTGTTGAAACCGAATTTATTTTTTACAGTTGAAATTAATTTAATTGTTGAAATTAATTCAACTGTCGAAATTAATTCAACTGTCGAAATTAATTCAACTGTTAAAATTAATTTAACTGTTAAAATTCGACCGTCAAAAAATTAATTAAACTATCAAAATTATTACTATAATTATTTGGATTAGTCTTTACTATTAAGGGATTTTAGAATTAAAAAAATATCGTATTTTGGAAATAAATAAAAGTTTAAAAATCTTATTTGTGCATCAAAATTTTGAAATTGGAAATAATAAAATTTTCGCTCAAATTACTTACTAAACCTTCGCTCAAAAATTACTTACTAAACTTTTTCAAATTATTTATTAAACCTTTGCTGAAATTATTTTTTTATATAACTTACTAAGCATTAGCTCAAATTACTTACTGAGTCTTCGCTTAAATTACTTACTGAACCTTTGCTCAAAATGTGGCACATATAGTAGTTAAGGTTGAGTTAGTATTGGAGTTATTGTGATTTCTACTTTAAGCGAGCAGGATTAAACTTTATACTCATACTATAATTTATTGAACGATTAAATGATTATAGTTAATAATACATACATTCTTCTAAAACACAATCATTAAAGCGAACAGAATAAATTTATACTCACCCTGGTGATTTCATCAAATAGATAAATGATTACAGTTAATAATACACACATTCTGAAACACGATCATTAAAGTGAACAGAATTAAACTTTGTACTCACCCTGGTGATTTCATCGAACGGATAAATGATTACAGTTAATAATACTAATAATACACACATTCTCCTGAAACACAATCGTTTAAATGAACAGAATTAAACTTCGTACTCACCCCAGTGATTTCATCGAACGATAAATGATTGCAGTTAATATTACATATATTCTCCTGAAACACAGTTGTTAAAGCGAACAGAATTAAACTTTATATTCACCTGGTAATTTCATTGAACAGATAAATTATTACAGTTAATAATATATACATTCTCCTGAAACATGATTGTAGCAGCAGGGAGGGCGGCAGACTTTTTTGTATGTTTTTACACCTTCTCTTTCACGAGTTTTTTTCGTCAATCCATTAAAATTGATACTAATTTTTTGGTGTTTTTATACGAAGCAAACATAAATCTCTCGTCATTCGACTGACGAAGCAAACATAAATCTCTCATTAATCACATCGTTATTCGTATGAAAATTTCTTTTTCTGACTTCAAGTGATGAAGTCACAAGAAGGTGGGCTTAAAAAATAGTGACTAATTGTGGTGTGTTTTTACACCCTTCAGTCTGCAAGTTTTTAAAGCTAAAAATCATTAAAATCGGTACTAATTTTTTGGTATATTTTTATACCTTCTGTTTGCAAGTTTTTTCTGACTACAAGCATATATGCGAGAAGGTAGGATTAAGTTTCATTCTGGCTTTGAACAGTATCTGCAAGAAGGCGGAGCTGGCGAGAATAAAATTGCAAGACATAAAACCTTTTCTTTTCCTCCTCTAGTTCGGAAAAAAGAAAATTAGTTAACTATATCTATCTAAACATAAACTTGTAAGTAGACAGGATATATAAGTGAAATAAATATTTTTTATTTAAACAAAGGATCTGAATAATAAATATATAATAAAAAACACTAAAAAATATGGTAGGTAAATGTCCAGGATGTGGATGGAGCCCTAAAACTGGGAAAACAAGAGATCTTAATAAGCATATGGACTTAACACGATTCAGACCATGTTAGGCTCTCTTGCAACTAACGCAAGCACAAAATATATCTCAAACTGGAAACACTATTCAAGCTCCAGCTCCAGTAGACAATTTAGCACTAGCCTCTGAAGACAATTTAATATCATTTGACAAAAACCCGCCAACATACCAGCCAGCCCAGCCGAGTGTGCCAGCAGTTGATCTTTTAACTGATGATATTCCAGAAGCAGATCCCGAAGCTGGTCCAGGTCCTAGAACACAAATACATAGAGAGCAAAAAAAGAAATTAGTTTTAACTATAAATGAACTAATAAAATGGTTATCAAAACCAAAAATAAAAAATAACAAAAAAATTAGATCCAAATTAGTTCCTAAAACAGATAAAGAATGGTTCGATCTAATGGAATCAAATATTAGTGAACCTAGTAATCCAGAACCTCAAGCTTATTATTTTCTAGATTTGGATATAGAAGTACCTTGGCCGGTCCTATTTCCAGAAAATGAAGAGCATTATGAAGTATGGCAAAATGGCATTCAGTATACAAAAGATATGTTTAAAGTGGATGGAGCCAAATATGCATTCTCAACCTGGTTTATAGATACTGAAGAACATAAATTAGAAGCTAGAATGACTGAAAAGCGAGCCCGAGAAATTTCAAATGCAATTGATAATAGTGAGTATTTAATAAGAGTAAAATTTATTCGAGCTAATACAGTAATATCAGATAAGGAAACAAAAAGAGGTTTTAAAATTATAGATAAATATGAACCTATTTGTGAGTCGAAAAGGGCAAATGGTAAATATATAAAAGGTGGTCCAAATGTTATACTTACAAAGAAAACGAAACTGGGTTTTTGGGTAGAAATAGACGAAAAATTTCTGGTTAGAGAAGTCAGTAGGCAATCTGAGGTAGGGGAACTTGATAGTAATGCAGTAGTCTATGGATTGTATCGAATTCAAGTACCAGATATTAATCGATTAATGTCTATGAAAGATGGAGCACTTAATTGTGTAGCACAACGAGTAATAGAGTATTTTGATTAAGCAAAAGGGGGGCATGAACTCACAGAAACTCGCCGGCAAAAAATTGATACATGGGAGAAAAAGATGCGCATTCCTGGTGCTCGAGTACAAGATATAGCAGAATTGAAAAAAATTCTTAAACGACCAATTAAATTGCTTGATATAACCCATGGCACTATCTTTAATAGCAAAAAATATCGATTAGGTAAGTATGAAGAAATAGAGATAGTAGTTCATAACGGTCATGCATTTCCGAGAAACCAGCATTTTCCAAGAGACCGAATAAGAACGATACTTGGGAAGCTATTAACAATGCTCTTCAAGGACCTCAGACCATCTGGCTTATAGGAGTAGAGGATGAAAACCAAACAATATCGCAATTTGTTTTAGAAGATAGTCGCACATTCAGAACATGGAAAAAGCATACAGATATCATAAATGCATGTAAGGAATTATTTGAAGATGCAGTAAACTGGCAATTTCGGGAAGGAATAATTAGTGAAGAAAGAAAGCAGAAGTCTCTAGAATCACTTAAAGTAGTTGACTTAGCAGAACAGATATTTGGAACAAACCATGCTGGAAGTTGATTGGCCAATAAGATCAATAAATGGTACCCCACTCCGATAAGTGTACATGAAAACATGAAGCAATCTTGTGTTGAACATGGGCATGGAG